TTTTTTTCCATTGGAAGGCCTGGGTCTCATTTCTTCTGAGGAGTGATGCTGATGGGCTGTTGGAGAAACTGATTGGTATAACTAACTAGATTTTGGATAGTTTATATCTTTTATAGAAAAATAAAATTATAAATACTTCCTTGATGATTACAGGTGCTAATGTAATTTTTTTATTAATTTATTTTTAGTTTTCAACAATCACTTCCATATGCTTTTGTTTTAAATTTTTCACCCCTTCCTTTCCCACTTCCCTCCCCAAGACGGCATGCAATCTGATATAGGTTCTATATATACATTGCTATTAAACATATTTTCACATTGGTCATGTTGTGGGGAAGTACTAGGACCAACAGGAGGAACCACAAGAAAGAGGAAACAAAACAAAACAGAAGGAAAAAAAAGAGCAAATAGTATGCTTCGATCTGCATTCAAACTCCATAGTTCTTTCTTTGGATGTGGATAGCATTTTCCATCATGAGACTTTTGGAGATTCTAACACATAATTTTTTTTTTAATTTTAATTTTTTTTTTTATTTTTAGGCAATTGGGGTTAAGTGACTTGCCCAGGGTCACACAGCTAGTGTCAAGTATTTGGTCTGAGGCCGTATTTGAACTCAGGTCCTCCTGACTTCTGGACTGGTGGTCTATCCACTGAGCCACCTAGCTGCCCCCCTAACTTGTAATTCATAACAGACATAGTGAGACTTGGTTTTTTGTTTTTGAGGAGGTAGGTCCTATGCCTGTGACCAGTGTGTGGTGGGAGAAGTCACTGGGAAAAATTGATTGCAGAGCGAGAGCTCCCCAAAATCTGAGGTGCTGGCAAAGGCAGCATTGGAAGCTGCCTTTAATGTAGCCATTAAAATATGGCCATTGAGACATTCTTTAATGCCCAGATGGTTTTTATCATCCCTATAGATGGTGCATTAGGAAACTGTACTATCCCACGTATGTTTGTGGGGGTACTCCTAGGAAAGAAGTACATCAGTAGTCCTGGTGAAATTGCCGAAAGTCTTAACAAAGAAGAAAGGATTTTCCCCAGGCTAATTTGTGCCTATGCATCTGAGGTGAGTGTGCAGGTTCTTTTTGGTAAAAGTGATCAGAACTTCCTATCCCCTTAATTCAGGCTCCCTTGAAACAGGTCAGCAGATAGAACACTGTTCAAAACAAATTTTGAAATCAGAAGGGCCTGGGCTTGCCTGATGTTATAGTCCCATCTTGTTATATACCATTCAGACGTGTCTCTGCGTGTGATGCCTGTCTGTGGAGAAACCTTCTGGTATATTGGAGAGAATTAGAAGAGCTGTTTGCTCTGCTAATTTCATGGTGCAAATGAGTTTCTTTTCTCTAGAAATGTTAGCCTTGTGTTGGCAAAACATAAAATAGAAAGAAACTCATTACATCTTCTCTTAATGCTAAGGCAGAACTAATAAGAAAATGTGTTTAAAATTAATTGTGAGACTGTAAAAATGAGTGGGTGTGTGGTTGGGGGGGTGGAATTAGGGGGGGCAGAGAGGGAGATCTTGGAGATAGTCTTGTTTTCCCATGAGCCAGTCTGCATCATTTGTTGGCAGTGCATATTGGCTGCAGTCCGTTTTCATTTCAAGGTAAATTGGAAAGGGAAATTAAACCTTATTGTTACAGTCTTGAGAGAGAAGGGGGTGGAGGCAGCAGCAAGCGTGGATCCTGTTGGAGAGGTTCTGGGAATAATAAGATTAGTGCTGTATTTTAACAGAAGGTGACATCATGGGCCCCCTTGGACTCCAGCAGCCCTGAGCTGTTGCCTTCATGGTCCCCTTGTCAGAATGGGCAATGTTGCTCCAAATGTAAACCTGCTCATTGTAGGAGGCTCAGACTTTAATGAATCTTTACCAAAGGAGTGTAAAGGGTCCTGAGTTGACCTGCATGGCTGTGGGGTGGCTGGGCTGAGAGACAAGCCGGATGGAATACTAGACAGGAAATGATAGAACTGCTGGCTCTAGTTCTGAGGAGCAGATGAAGTAGGGAAGAGGGCATCTAGACAGTCATTTTGAGAGCCCGTGGGTGCTGCTGTTGCTGTTCATTTCTGCTGAAGTGAATCTGTCACTGGGAAAGCACAGGCAGGCCGACTGACTTCCCCAGAGAGGGGCTGAGTGGGGCACTGGTGTTTTCAGGCTTTTGCAGTTTTTAAATAGCCAGGAGGGGGCAGTGTTGGGTTCACTTCTAAAGCCTTGGCTTCTGCGCTTCTCTCACTAAACTTGCCTGGCCCTGGCGCAGCTGTCTGAGCTGGCTTCCTGACTGCCTGAATGACAGTTCTCAAAGGTTTCCAGAAGAACCTGCTTATTCTGCCTCTTAGGGACCAGGTCCTTGAAACACATATGTTTTGGTTTGTGACTGATGTGCTTAGCCTTGCCCTTTAGAATACAAGAGTTGAAATGAGGTCCCTGCTCACAAAATGTGAGATCAGTCTTAGATCAGAGAGGGGATGTGTGGACCCTTAGCTTAGTGTCAATGTGGGGAGAATTCCTACTTTCTGTAAACCATGAATGTGGGAGACTGAGAGTTCAGTTTGGGCTTCTCTAGAATCTCATAGCATTTCCAAAGTTTCATTCTGGTCAAAGGAGATAAGAGGTAATGATTATTTTTCTTTTTCTTCATCAGATGGTCCCCTCTGATGGGCTCTTCCTGTAGGATGCTGGAGAATCAAGAACAGGAGGTAAGAATGAATGCTCCCCAGTTTAGTTTCCAGTGGGGAGAGGTAGCGAGGATGTGGAGGTAAGGGTTAAGAGGGAGGTCAGAAAAATTGGATATGAAACAGTCATCCAATGTAGTGCAGTACTTTCTTCCTTGTAGTCATAGCCTTAGGGATTCTGATAAAACTGTGATAAACTCTCCTGTGGTAGGTTGGACATTGCTCTGAATTAGTCGTTTTGCACCCCATCTTGGTGAGTGAGGTGCTTTTTGGTGCTGCCTGTGGGGGAGCTGGCAGTTGTCTGCAGAATAATCTTTGATACATGATCCAGCTGAAGCTAAGACAAGTGTTCTATTTCAGGAACTAATTACCGTACGAGTCCAGGATCCTCGAGTACAGAATGAAGGTTCCTGGAATTCTTATGTGGACTACAAGATATTCCTCCATGTAAGCATTGGGGCTGGGAAAATCTGTTATGTGCTAATATGGAACATTACATGGCAGGGATCATTAGCCTTCTTAGCTCTGAAGTCCAGGATTGGGGTTTAGTGCTGCCACTAGCAGGCCTAAGGCCTGGGGAGATTGTAGAAAAAGTGTGAAAGGAGAGACGTGATAGGGGACCATCAATGATCACATTAAGGGACATACAGGGAGCACTAATGTGACTCTCTTTGGGCTGGGAAGTCCAAGGCAGCCTAGTACAGCTGACAGGGGAGGGACCTTCTGCACTGTAGTGGAGAGAGTGCAGGGCTTGGAGTAGGGAAGATCCGAGTTCAAAGCTTGCTTCTGGGCATTTAACATTTTTAAAATGGGGAGAATGGTGTAATTGTAATATGAACCTGCTGCCCAGAGTTCCCAAGAGAGCCCATGGAGATAATGTTTGCAAAGTGCACTGTGAATTTTAAAGGGCTCTATCAAGGTCAGTTGTCTCTTTTCATTGTACTTTAGACCAACAGCAAGGCCTTTACTGCCAAGACATCTTGTGTGCGTCGCCGCTATCGGGAGTTTGTTTGGCTGAGAAAGCAGCTCCAGAGAAATGCTGGCTTAGTGTGAGTCTATCATATGGTTGCTTCTTGGACCTTGGTCCCAAATGCTTAAAAGTGTTCTGGGGTGAGGGGTCCCAAAGGACAAGTGTGTTAGAACTTGGCAGGCAGGAGGAGGGGAATGATAGGGAACTTCTTCTTCGTGTGTGTGTGTGTGTGTGTGTGTGTGTGTGTGTACACGCAGAACCTTTGGCCTTTAGACTCATGAACTTCATAGAGCTGTCATCTGACTGAATACTATGGAATAAGCTTCTGTTCTAACATGCCAAGTAAAACCTGAACAAATTTAATACTGAAATTGGAGCCATTAGGCTCCTCTACTTATCTGAAGGGTCGCTGCTTTCCCATCTGTTTGAAATGCAGAAATTGTGAATTTGGAATGCAGATTCCCATTCCTGGGGATTCAGCTAATTAGCTAACTGAGAGCCTTGGTAAGAAAGTAGGTGTTGGGTTTTTTGTGTTTTTAAGATTAAGTTTGAAATGTGAAAGTATTGGGACAGTTTTTCTATGTCAGGGTGGTCTATGTTCTCTGCAACTTAATCCTTTGATTCTTTAGTGATGATAGGATAATTTGTTGAAAATTTGACTGACTGCTCATTTGTTATGAGCTAACATGTCTTCCTTGTCTATAACCTAGGTGACTTCACTTCATGTCACTACCACAGACTCATTATCCTTTGCCAGTTTTCCTGCAAGTGTGTAGTCCCTATTAAGGGGACAGTGGAGCCCTAGGTGACAATATAAATTGTTCACTCTTGCCTCATGCCCAATTTTGGAAGAGCAGTTCAAATCACATAACCTCTCATCAGTGGGATCCGTTTAAGAAGCTATTAAGTTCATGTCTAAAGATGTAGAGGTTTCCTGTTTTTCTATGACAGGGGAAAGAAATGGGCAGTTTTGAAAACATATTCCATTAAATGCTGATATAAATAGGGCTGCTTTCCGATGGGTTTCCTTCAGACCAGACGCCAGGATCACATTCTTCTCTCTTGTTCCCTCCAGGCCTGTACCTGAGCTCCCTGGAAAGTCCACCTTTTTTGGTAACTCAGATGAATTTATTGAGAAGCGGCGACAAGGTCTTCAGCACTTCCTGGAGAAGTAAGTGGCTGGTTGGCCTTTGTGCTAGTCAAGGTGGTGACTAAAGATTCCAGGCAAGGGGTACCCCAGGGGACAGGTAGCCTGGGGTAGGACGAGGGGGAGGCAGGTCCTAGCTAGGATGCATGTGGCGATATCTATGATGTCCAATTTCCTGAGGCCTTGAAGGCTCACAGGAGCCAGCTGTCCCCACGAGACCCACAGTTCAGGGCAGTGCTTTATCTCGGGATGCTTTCTCATCACTGCTGGATCTGGCCATAGGGTCCTACAGAACGTGGTCCTCCTGTCCGACAGCCAGCTACACCTCTTCCTGCAGAGTCAGCTATCAGTCCCCGAGATCGAAGCCTGTGTCCAGGGTCGGAGCCCCATGACTGTAGCTGATGCCATTCTCCACTATGCCATGTCCAACTGTGGCTGGGTCCAGGAAGAGAGCATGGGTTCTCCTCAGCTGGCAATGGGAGGCCACCGTAAGAGGTAAGGAGAAGTTAGGGGCTAGCAGTAAAGAGGAGAGAATTCTGGATTTGGAATCAGACCTGAATCAGTCTCAGCTTTGATACTAGCAGTGTGACCTTGGGCGTAACTTTGGTGCCCTTATCTGCAAGATGGGGTCAAAGAAAGGAGAGTATTCCTGAGGACTTTGTAGCAATCATACTTGGTTACCTTCTACCAAATGAGTCTAAAGTACCCCTCACTGAATCATCATGACTTAGGGTGTGAAGCCTGGGAGTAAGAAAGGGGAGTCTGCTGCCTTCTTCGGTGCTCACTCCCCATGTCTTTTCCAGTTGCTGTTTTATCCGAAGACCTGGTGGTCAGGCCTCTTTGTCACCTCTCCAGAACGAAGAAAAGGACCACTTGGCAGCATGGGCTCCTGTGGCTGATACTACAGCTCCTCACTTGGAAAGTTCCTCTCTTCCTCTTCCAACTTCATCTTCAAGCTGGGACTTTGTCCAGTCTGATGAAAGGACCAGTGCCCCCCAGGCCTGGAAGAGAGTGGAAGAAGACCACCCAGTTCACCCATCTTATGACATGGACTCAGAATCTGGCCAGTTGGAAATGGTCTGAGAAGTGGTGATTGCTTTGGTCTGAGATCAGCTGTGAAGGGAGCAGGCCAGAGGGGGCCAGCCCAGGTGGGTGGGGTAGGATGATCAGCAATGTCTAGGGTGGTCGGCCTTCTGGGCAGCCTTATCCTCACATGGTGATGGTGGCAGCAGCTTGCAGCCCTCCTCTCTCACTTAGTTGTTCTTCACCTGGTGCTGGGTGGACAGGAAGCTGGCAGTGCTCTGCACAAATTGGAAAGCTTAGGGTCTGTTTTGTCTTACAGCTCTCTCCTCTTGACTCTCCTGGGAGCAGAGTTTCTTCTGATGATTTGTTTATGAGAGTAGGAACACCCTCTTGTAATACACTAGCTTTGGGAGGTCTGGGTGTGGTTGGGGACCTAGGGGTAAGAAGGTGCTAGCTTTTGCTTCCTGCATTGTCCCAGTGGCCACTCTGAGCCAGCTGGCATTGCCTAGCTTTAGAAGTGGATTCGTGTTTAGATTGGTGCCCGTTTTTGCTCCAGCCCCAGCAGCTATTTGTTTGGGGAAGTTGGCCTTCTCCCTCTCTCCCTGCCCCTACAATTTGTTGGATAGTTCTCTTCCTGTCCCCTTGTCCTTCCTGCTCTTTCCTCTCTGTGGCTGGGGCAGCAGTAGCCCCCTTTGCAGCTGGAGTTTGCTACAGCCCGAGGCTGCTGCCATAATGCTCGAGGGTGGATGAAGGCTGTGGCGGTGGCAGTGGCAGTAGCAGCAGCTTGGTTGTCCAGCACAAAGAGGGGGCTTGATTTCAGCTAGAAGGGCAGCAAACAGTTGCTGTGCCGGGAGCTGATGGGTTGGTTTGGGGGCGGCAGCCTTGGGCTGAGGCTTCCACTTCAGGCTGGACTTGAAGAAGTGCGACTTTTGACCTGCCGGCTTCGTTGCACATGATATTCCCCATATCTCACAATATTTTTCTTGCTGCACAGTCTCTCTGTCTCTATCTCTGTGTTAAAATGAGACAGCCTGTTCAATTCACCAGGGCCAGGGGACTGTGCTTGTTGATGAGAGCTTTGTTTTTTCCCTGTAAGCAAAGGGCTGTAGGGAAGAGGAACAGGATGCCTTTAGACAATGAGGCATTCTGGCCTCCTGCTGCCTCTCCACTGAGAGCTGGGGCTGGTGGGGGCTGTGCTGCTGGAGTTCAGCGTGGCTCCGCTCTTCCCATGGCTGTGTGTCTGCTCATTCCCTTCTCCTTCCCCTCCTCTGGTCATCACACTTCATCTGTGTACTCTTTTACTGCCAGTGGACACTGTGGGACTGTCATGGCATTTAGCTCAGAGTGGAGGTGCTCTGGCCTGAAATAAAATTCAAGTATTTAAGACTGTTGTTTCAATTGGTGTCTAACAAGCTGTGGCGGAGAAGGAGGGAGTCAGGTTGGTGGTAAGTTACTTTAATAAATCATGAATTTATCAGCATGGAAATAATGACTGAGAGCTGTGCCTGGCAGCCCTTCCCTTCCACATCGGGCAGGGGAGTGCACTGCTCGGGTTAACCATTGGCAGAGAGGGTGTCTTCCGAAAGGCTTGGCCCACCAGCTCTTCTCTCAGGTCTCGGCACATACCTGCTTAGGTATAATTTACTTGATGCTGCTTTGCCTGTCTGGAGGTGCCAGGTGCTGAAAAAGAAATAAACTCGATCAACAGGCAGATTCGCAGCCCTGCCTGCTCCCCGTCCTCTCCTATTCTCCCCCTTCCCCTCCTGTGCTGCAGCATTGTGGTGCATGTAGAGGCAAATCCAAAATGTCAAAAGAAGTTCATTTAAAAGGACAACAACAACAACAAAAATCGCATACACAACCCCTACAAAAAAACCTGACAGATGCTAAGCTAATGGCATTCGCTCTACCGATTGGTGGGGATGGTTCATGAATATTGATAAGTCCAATGCTCCAAATGGTGCAGCTGTGAACCCAGCTGTGCCTGAAGCTCTCTGATCTCGAAACTTCCAGACATGAGCCGGAGGTGGTCTGTGTCAATTCCCTACTCAGCCAAAAAAACAGCAAGCTGGGTGGGTCGTCTTCTGTTTCCCACTTTTTTCTCCAGGAGCTGGCATTCAGCTCCTGGTCCTGCCAGCAGGGTGGGCTGATGGGACGGCAAGAGCTGGAGGAAGACGGAAATGATTTTTCTCCCCCTGACTTCCATAGTCTTTTTAAGTGACTAATTGGAGTCGGTGCACACACCCATGATCATGGCTTCAGTCTAAGGCTGGCCAAACATCCTGCCTTCCTTGGCCTGAGGTCTCTGAGCCAGTGACTGGGGCAGGATGTCCTGTGATGGAAGTCCTTTGAAGGGAAAGCTTTTAACTGCTAAGACAAGCTTAGGGCTACCAGAAAAGAAGCCGCCCCCCCCAAAAAAATTTATTAGCCACTTCATTAGGGTTGCATTGTACCTACACATCCATAAGCTTGGCCAAAGCAGCTACCAGTCTTTCTTGAGAGCCTGGGTTGGACAATGTAGAAAGGGCCATACCAGGCTAGTGTAGAGAATGAAAGGTCCCAGGCTTGCTTCTCTCCAACTCATTTCTTTCTGCTATAAGCAACCAGCTTGGCTTGTCATTTTTTTTTGTCTTCTAGAAGACATTGAACTTATTTAAAGAGCTGGTTTCCAAGGCCTATGTGAAGTGATACAGAGTAAAACCAACAGAATTTAAACATACTGACCATAACTATGCATGAGTGGTGGTGCTGGTCCAAGATCTGTGATTTTATAGGTGAAAGGAATTCTCAAGACTAAGATGGATTAATTGTAGATCACCCACTCATGTAATAACATTTCTATCGCACCTTAACAGTTTGTGAGTTGCTTTATTCAGGTAAACTCATTTGATCCTTCCAATAACCCTGTTAAGATAAGTGCTAGAAGAAAAGGAAACTGAAGCTGAGATATTAAGAGCCTGGCGTGGGGTGACCACGCTGGAACGTGTTCAAGGCAGCAGTGGAATCCATACCTTCCAGACTGAGGCTGACCTGCCCACACACTTGTGCTACCACTCATTCCTCTGTGTATGAAGGAAGGAAAACAGATTCAAAGATGAAAGAACTTTAGGCTGGATGAGAAGGGAACACAGTACAAAGGCATTTTCTTTGCTTGGCTATTTGTATGGTTCTGCTTTGTTAAAGGGTTTGGGGTAAGATTTTTGCCCCTTATTTGTATGATTTTTTTTCCTGTTGATAGAGATTACATTTATAATAATAATTTTAAAAGCTCAGGTTTCTAGATAGTGTGGGCTTCCAGAGAAGAAATACTTGAGTTGTGCAAAATTAAATAAAAAAAAAATCTCACTGTTCAAAACAATCTTCGCCCCCTCCCCTACACCCTGCAAGCATTGCTATCAGGTCATAGGCACCCTCCTTTTTCAACAGCTAAAGGATCTGCTTGTTAGCTTAATTTTAGGTAACAATGGCTTAATGGGGTAGAGCAGAGGGAAGGCATTTTCATTTTTTCAAGATCTATTCAGACATTAGGTTAGTCTGCCTTTGATACATGAATCTGTTTATCTCCAGCAGACAGTGATTTTGCCATGTATTCCCAGCAGCAGGGGTGGGTGGAATGGTGGGGGCAGGAGTATCCAGGGGCTGATGGTGGGGATGGAAACGGACCAACTTAGCCTGCCTTCCGGAGGCCGCAGGAGCGAAGGGCTGGAGTGGCATCTGTGGATTTATGTGTAAGCAGCCAGCTGAGACGTAGCTAAAGCCAAGCAGATAACTATGGCAGTATGAGATAACCACTTCCTTCAATCAGGCACTGGGCACTGATCCTAGGCCCTGCTTCTCCCTCCTCCCCCTGCCTCCTGCCAGCCTGAGGTCAACTCTATGGCAGACACATAGCCTGGCTCAAGGTAACCTTTCTCTACTCCAGCTGTGACTCTGCTTCCCTTTTCCTTTTCCCCTCTTCCCTCTGCCCCCCTGGCTTGGCCTGGCTCCACCCCCCCCCACTCTGGAAATTGTCCAACCCCCCTTACTCCTTCCTCATCCCCCTCTCCTCTGAGGAGGTTTGGTTCTGGTGCTGGTGTGGCAATCCCTCTAGTCTGAGTTCAGCAATGGGGACCTAGACTCCAGCCATGGTGTCTGCTGGTAAGAAACACTTCTAAGGGGAAATGTTTCCAACTGCTCAGGCTGGGAAGTCGGGGACCTCAAGCCTCCACAGGTGAAAACATGAAAAGGCTTATGTACGAAGAATGACAAGCTCTGCAGTTTTTAGGATGGCGTAATGCTCAGCGTGAATAATTTCTCTTCCCCTTCACCCGAGATAGCTTATAGCTTATTTGTCTCTACCACCTAAAGAAGACAGAAACATGTAGCACCTTCCCTACCCCTGAAAGGAGGTGTGAGTGATGTGAGGAGCAGCAGCAAAGCTGAAATATGAGAGGTAAAAATTCTGAGATCTCTGGGCAGTGTCATCCCAAGCTGACGTGCTCTTGTCAGCCCCCTTCCTTTCCACTCCCCTTAGAACTCAGCTACTTAATACTCAGCACTGCTGTCATTTCCCCCTTGCTTTGGAATACTTGTAGGCTGATGGCTTTGCTTAAAAACCATTCTTGGCTCTGGCCAGTGGCAGATAGTTGACACCCCCCACTCTCCTCACATGAAGGCTCTAAGTGAACTCTTCCCCTCACCCCCACCTCCCCAAAGTGGCCAATTCCTTTTGGGCCTGTGGATCCACAAGGCATCTGACCCAGGTCTCTCCTGCAGCAGGCACAGGATGGGAAGAGCCAGAAACAGGGTTGTGTTGGATGCAATGCAACCTGCCTGCTGTAAGCTACGAGACTTAGATATATTCTACCAATTAGGACACATCTGTTCCGAAATGCTAAAAGGCGGGTACTGTCTCTTTAAGAGCCATCCCACTCCTCTCCTTGAGTGATGAGGGCTGGGAGCATGAGGGAGTCGGATGCTGATTAAACACTCCTACCGCAGAGCTCTGTTAGAAAATTACTGTAATTATGATCTGGTCCCAGCAGAGGGATGAGTTCCAATCCTGCTAATAACCCTTCCAGGTGCCTCAGATCCTGGGCCTGTGGGAACCCAAGTTGTCAGAGCTCTCGCGGGTGCCAGGTTCCACCACCCTTCTTCTTGCTGACCTGAGGCTCGGAAGGGCAGCACCTAAACCAGCCGCCCACCTCCTTGCCCAATCCCAGGCACCAGGGCAGGTGCTGGCTTTCCCTTAGCGTGTTGTCATTTTGGACTGTTTACATCAACAGCTCCAAGGAGACATCTTTAAATAAGCCAGTGTCAAAGGCTGCGAAACTCAGAGCAGCCAGGAAGAAGAAAATCTGTCCTGAATCCGTTCCATTCTGCCTGGGGACTGCAGCAAGGGTACCAGCACCCGAACCTGACTTTGCAGACCTCCCATTTTGCACCAACTCCACGCCATGCCAAGCTACACCAAAGAGACACAAGGCAGGGATGCTCTCAGCTCATTTCCATTCTAACCTGAAAGCTTCTCCCCAGGACTAGAATTAACTTCCTGTGCTCATCTTTTAGAGAGGTCTGCAGCAAGGAAGGGGAGAGGTGTGTGCTTGGGGAGAAGGGGAGGAGGGCCGTTAACTGCAGCTCTGCAGAGACGAGACATAAGCTGGCTAGAAAACATATGCTTGGCATCTAAATATTTGCAAATATGACTGTAACTGGTAAACATGAAAACAGCACAAGTCAGGGGTGAGTTAAGGTTAAAATGATGTCACCAGGCAGGCACATCTTGGAGGTACCTTTGGAGCAAGGGGATTGGCTGCTGTTTTTGTTGTTGTTTTAATTTTGAGCCACTGGGCATTTGTATCTGGGTTGTTCTCCACAGCTAGGAATGGGAAGATACTGACGCTTTATGGTTTATGAAGCATTTCATTGGAGTCTCACCACCCTGTGAGGGAGGAACTAGAGGAATTTTATGGATGAGGAAACTGAATTTGTGTCTTGCCCTTCGTCACTCGGCTGGGAAATGTCAGGGGCAGAATTCAAACTTGGGTCTTCCTGATTATACCTTGTCCACTACCCATCTCAAGTACTTCACCTTGAGCCAGGATAAGGGAATTGAGGGGTAGAAAAGGAATTGCTAAGGGAAGATGCTTGATGCTCTCCAGCTCCACTTAGGGTAGTGCTAGTGCCACTGGTGGGGTTTTCCCATAGTCCCAGAGCCCTCTGTCAAAGGAGTCAAAGCTCCTGAAGGTTGTTAGCTTCCTGCCGTACACCTGTGTGTCTCCATCTCCTTCTGAGAACAGTAACCAAATCAATACCACCATTTCTTCTATAAAAGACCTGTTCATCAACTGTCAACCCTATGACTACTCATCATCACTGTAACTTCCCAGGCCAAGACACCCCCTTCCTGGCCAGCACTCCTCTCTCTGTGTTGTCTCCACCTCGTAGGATGTAATGGGCAGCTAGGTGGTGCACTAGATAGAGCCCCAGGCCTGGAATCACAAAAACCTGAGTTCACATCTGGCCTCAGACACATCCTAGCTGTGTGACTCTGGGCAAATCACTTAACCCTGTTTGCCTCAGTTTCTCATTTATAAAATGAGCTGGAAAAGGAAATGGTACACCACGCTGGTATCTTTAGCAAGAAAACCCCAAATGGGGTCACGAAGAGTTGGATAGGACTAAAAACGACTAAACATTAG